ATTGATGTGACTTGGGAAGTGCATGGCCATGCCCAAATAAATATGTTATTTGAATCCCACAAGTCAATCGAAGAATCAGTAAACCATCGATTTAACTTTAACAAGGTGACACACCCCATACCTTGTGTTAAATCAAGATATTAGTGATAAAGGGATAAGGGTTATACAAATAGGATGTGTCGTTGAAGGAATTGTTCCAAGAACTTTAATCTATAATTTGGGGTGATAATGTGTTGCTAGATACCGCTGATCACTTGTAGTGTTTAACCGATACTATGGCCAATTTTATAGATGCCTAGAATAGGGTCACACACATAGAACATATGAAAGTGTAGAATATTTAAGTGGAGTAAAGTTGCACTTTATTTATATATCGTGTGTATTATATTGTATGACAATATGATTAAATACACAAACATATATATATATAAATAAATATTTGGACATTTTAATTATGTGATAATTAAGTTTGTCAAATATATTTAATAATAATAAAATATATATATTCGGATATATATATGAATAAGAAATTGTTTATTATTATTAAGGCACGAAATATATATTTATATATATTTAATATTTGGACATTTTAAGTTTGTCAAATATTATTTAAGGAACAAATTAAATATAACATTATTATATTTATATATGTATATGTGTGTGTATATAATATGTATATATATCACCGTATATATATGTATATATATGTTTATGTATATTTCGGATATACATAAAATAAATGTTATCACTACAAAATTTCGCTAAATCTGCGACGGAAAATTTCTATCGCAAATCCTTTGTTTTGGTTGCAGAGTTCGAAATTGCGACAGGTCAGCGATGGAATTCATCCGTCGCAAAAAAACGTCGCATTTTAGATATTTGCGACGGAAGTTTGAATCCGTCGCAGAACTGCGACGGTGTTAGCGACAGGAAAATCATTTTCAGAATCTGCGACGGAAGGTTTATTCCGTCGCAATCTGCGACGGAATTTGCGACAACCGATCCATGGTTCTTAATGTGTACCTTGCGACGGAATAAAGCCGTCGCAAATGCACCAGATATCAGCAACCTATTCTGCACCAGATTTCATCAACCCAACAGTACAATAACATTGCAACAATACAGCATATAAACAACAGCATTGAAACATCACAGTATTATTCAAATTCCTTATGAAACACAAATTATTTCTCAATTCATTGTCAATCACAACACAATGTTCAATAAAACACATAATTGTCATAAGTTATTCATGCGACACAACCAGTTCCTGAGCCTCCCATCCCATCATCAGGGTCTCGAGGTGTCGGAAGATTTCCACCACAGATCATTCGAATTTGTTCAGCAACTGTCAACTCAATCTTATCTAACCTTGCCTTCATGACTTCGTTCTCCGCTCTCAACCGCTCAATCTCTGAAATATCACTAGTGCTCTTTCTTCTGCTTTGATATCTAGGTTTAAGGGGTTTCATTTCTTCGGCAAGATCTCCGAATCCCTTAATCCTATTCTTTTGATCAAAGCCACCAACTAGCTCAGACTATATCTCTTGATCCGTGACTTGAAGGCCTGATTCCTCAGCCATTTGTTTCAATTGTACAAAATCAGCCTGTATAATGAAATACATAATCAATATATAATAAAGACATAGAGTATTTGTAATTATCAAATTGTGGCATTGTATTTAAATTTAAGTAATAAGAAGTGTGCATAATTCACATTTACCTCAAGTTGTGCATTTTCTGGATCTACCCATATTTTTCCATCATGTTTCTTCGTCTTGGTGTGCTTGAAAGCATCCACCACTGTTACTGGAGCTTCAGACTTTTGAGCCTACAATATAAAAAACATTGTAAGTTCATCAAAAAATGTGTTCATATTTTTAATTAACATATAAATTTAGAAGTGAAAAAATATTAATATGCATTCATTCATTACTTACCAATCGGGCAAGGTGTTCAGAGAAAGGAATTGACCCTCCAGTATAGGTCCCTATAGCTACGCCTTCATTCCTTCCCTTTCTTCTATTCTTTTTCTTCACTTCAGATTCTTGCTTAAATTCTTTGGAATTCCAAAACTATACATATATATAAGATGAGGATTATTAGAAGAAGTTATACATATAGATACATATAACACGTATGTTTTAGATAGGAAATGCTATAATAATATGAATATTAAGAATATAACTCATACGTATAGAAAAATTGTAATACATTCAAAACTAAATCACCTTGTCCCAACGACCAATAAGCTCAGCAGGGGGCTTCTTGTGAACCACTCTCGCATTACGTTGATTATACGTAAAGCGACTATACAATCTCCCCGCCCGACGCATAAAAGCATTCCTGACCATATCACAAGGAATGCGACGATCCCAGCTGCAGTGTTTCTATATTCAAAGAAACCAAAGTTTATGTAGTTATACTTATTTTTAATATATAATATTAAAAAGTTATAAGTGTAAATACGTATGAAAACCATGCCTGGAACTCTCGCCAGTAAAAATCTCGCGTCTCTGGGCCATTATTCTTCCACTTTTTCCCTTCAGGATCCCCCCTCAAATAAAATGAGAGTGTGATTAGGTGGCACACAGCAGTAGTGATCTTAACCCTTATATTATTTCATAAAAAAACCAGAAAAAAATCAATATAAGTGATAATGATATATTAACCTTTTCTTAATTTTCATCATAACTTACTTGCCATCATGAGCAACGTATACATGTTGATCCCTCACAAGTTGGTCCAACTGCTCATCCTCCTCATCGTCCTCCTCTTCTCGGTCGCCAACATCATGTTCTCTATGCTCACTCTCACTTTCAAAAGATTGCAAATTTGACTCGGGTACGAATGTATGCGATCCATTATACATTATATATGAAAACATGAATAATTGGGAAGATAAATAATCCTACTAGCGGTGCTAGCACCAGAATGCAATGGTGTGTGTGACGTGGTCGGAGGTGATGCTGATGCATCCATCTCAGGGGTGGACGTATTAGCCAAGGGGTTGCTACAACCTACTTCGGCATCATCTCTGGATCGAGTCATGAAACTCTGTCGTAGAAGTCTCAAGCTATCCCTCGCCGAACTAACAAAATATGGCATCTTCGAGCTCTTTTGCTTCTTACCCTTGCCTTTATCTGTCATCTGCACATACAAAAACACGGTAAAATAAGATATGCTCTATAATGGTTGCATTACTTCCAAACTTTAAATTCTTGCATGACTTACACGGACAACGCATGTTATTCTTAGATCGATCAGCATTGGGATTCGAGGAACAAATATCCACAAACTTCATGACATTGTCAACCCATTCTTTACTAACTACACCTTCGGATTCAAATTTATTATACATCCATTCACGATCATCAAATCCAGACATTGTAGCATTAAAATCAACACTGTTTCATACAAAAGAAGCACAAATTGAACAATGCAAATAACATATCAACAATTTGAATTCATTCACAACTTAAAAAGTACAAAAAATTACCAGCTACAATAACCAAAATTTTAAGATAAGTTAAGAAGTTTTTTAATATAAAAACTTTAAAAAAAATCCTAGAATCATATCAAATAAAATTTTCCTACAATCATATAAAATAAAAATTTCTTACAATGAAATCAAAATTTCCTATTATAAGCATATATGATTAACAAAAAATGGAATATAAAAAAGCATATGATAAATTTCTTAGAATAAGTTTTTTTCACTTTAATTACCAAATCTAACAAAAAAAAATTTGCAAAAATAATTCAACCTTTAAAAACAATATTTTTTTTAAATAATTTAGAGTGAATCAATTCATCAGTATCATGCAATTACAAGAAAAAATGTTCAAGATAAATTTCACACTTCAATTGAGGGGAAAAAAAATTAGGGTTAGAGTAGTTGTACCTTGGGTCGGCAGACACCGGACGGAGTTTGGGCAGGAGGTGGGTCGGCGGACGGCGGACGCAGACGTGGCGGCGTGGAGTGGAGGTCGGAGGTGGAATGCCAAGAGCTGTAGGCGGCGGACGACTTTCCCCTTTATGCGTCATTTGTCTCTGCTGTATGGTTGAGATGGGAAGAACACGACTTTGATCCAGGGAGGATAAGATTTTAATTTAAACCCTGCGACGGAAATGATTCCGTCGCCGAAACCGTCACAGTTAATGATTTAAAAATATTGACCGTCAAGTCTTTGCGACAAAACACATTATCCGTCGTAGATTTGCGACGGTTAAGATAATTCCGTCGCAAATAATCCCAAACTTTAAATTCACTTGTTTTTGTCGCAGATTCTATCGCAATTTGTGACGGAAAAAATCCGTAGCAGATTTTCTGTCGCAAATTGAACTAAATCTTGTAGTGTATATTATTTATTTTGTGTTAATTATATGATAATTAAAGTTGACAAAATAAATTGGAAGCTTCCTTAAAGTGCCATTTGAAATTTCCTAAGTAGAATACGAATGGGATTTGATTTCCTCCCTAAACTCTAAAAGGTACATTCCTATTAGGAATAGGAATGAGGATTATGCTCCTTATAAATAGGAGATCATCCCACCCCTTTTATGTTGGACATGAGTTCAAACCCCTTTATTATTTTTTTTGGATTATTTTTTGTTTTGATGAATGACAAACAGGATGATTAAATTCAATCGATATTCGAAAATTTATTCGGATCGAGAAAAGCAAAGAAGGGCATCAAGAAGTTTCGGCGATAAAATTCACGCTCACCCCTACGCAGTTTTTTGAAGTGAAGCGAAGACTCCGAAGACTTTTTATTTTTATTGAGTCTAGGAATTTTTGTAAGGATGACAATATCTTCTGCACAAACAAATTAATTTCTGAGGAATAAAAATTATTTTTTTTTTGAGTCAGTTGAAAAATCACTTTTCCTCTGTCTAAAATATTTTACTGAGTCAGTTTCAAAATAAGTGTGTCAAAACTTCTTTAAAACATTTTTTTTATTACACAATTTTTACTTGGTAAGAAAAATTTACTTTAAATATTTTTCGTGTACATCGTTTAACACACAAAATAATTTTTGTACTCTCTTTTTCTCTCCCCTACTCAAATTCATTGAATAGGGAGATATTATCCGAGGAGCGTCCATTGTCCCAAACAACGAGTTACAATCCAAACTCCTTCCAATCGCAATTGGCTTGGGCCCTTTGTGTTTGCGCATTATTTTCCTGTTAATCGATTATTTCCTCTAGGATAATCGATTAGATCCAGCGCAATTTCTCTGGACATAATAATTAATCGATTATTTCTTTTATGAAAATCGATTAGCTTGGACAGAACCGCCTAATCGATTTGTTGCTTCACTTTAATCGATTTATAAGCTTTTCGGTGGGCTGCTCAACTTTGAACAAATAATCGATTATTTCTCATCAATTAATCGATTAGAGCCTACTAATCGATTATTGGACATCATTTCATCGATTATGGTCTGTTTTTCTTTTCAGGCTTTTCGCTTCTGTGTACCATAATCGATTTAACCTTCTACCTTAATCGATTAATTTTATCTGGTGCATATTCTCAACCTGCTCCAACGGATTTATTTTCAGTCAGCCTATTTAATCCCNAAATATTCATTGAGCCTTTGTCATTCCTTGCTTCATCTTCCTCATCAAAACATTATTTTTGAGAGTTAGAAATATTTTCTTTGAGTGCTAAAGAAGTTGTCATCCATAGAGCTTTAATCCTTCAAACACTACTTTGCTCAATTGTGTGAGCTTTCATTCTTGTGTTGTAAACTCAATCTCATTTGAGTGTTGTTCATAAGACTTGTGTGACTCAAGTCTTGTTGTTGTAAGAAAGTGAGGCTTGTGTGATTCAAGTTCTCAAGTTGTACCGGTTTTTCAAGCACCCGTTGAAGCTTGAAGATTAGTAGGACTTTCGAGAGAGTCTCTCGGAGGACTAGACTAGCCACGAGGTGGTGAACCAGTATAAATCCCGGTGTTCTTCTTTCCCTTACTCTCTTTACTTATTCCTGCGATTTTTCTTTTACACGCGAAAAACGCACATTCTTGAAAACAACTCTATTCACCCCCCCTCTAGAGTTGCACATTTGTCTAACATTTTAGATAACTAGAATTTCGGCCCTAGCAATTTTTAAGAGAAAAAATTTGTTTTGTTCTCTTAATACCTTACACCAAATATTTTATATTTTAGAAATATTCTAGAGAAAAATTACTCGCATAATTTTCTCTAGAACACTCTTCGTTGTTCGTGTGTCTCAACTGGAGGTCATATACTTTTGTGGCTAGCTCTTGGATCAATCCATCAACCTACACATATCGTTTCTTGCTCGCCAAGAAAGGTATATTTCTAAACAATAACTTATAATAATGATAAGAGGTCCTGGGTGGATCTACGTTTGCACATCAAAATTTTTGTTTTCCGTTGCCCTATCCAAGCGTAGATTACCCAGCATTTCGTTCTTTCTATCTTAATGTATCCTTCCTTGACCGGAGTTATGCTTGCTACATTGTCTTTATATATAACTGTAGGATTCTTCTTGATTTCTTCCAAACCGCATGCTCCTTGTATGGTATTGATCAGCAATCTCTACTATGCTTGCTCTCAAGCACTGTCGTATAACGTTATCAATTCAGTTAGATTTAATGTTGTTGTTCATGTTCGCTTAGTTGACTTTCAAAAAAATATCGTATCGCCATATGTGAACACATTACCTGTCTAAGTTCACACTTGAATTAGGTATTTCAGGACCAAGTACTTCTTCGCCCTCTTCTAGGAGGCGTATGAATGTTATATATATATAACATTTACTCTGTCAAAAAGGGAAGCTGCCAAAATGAGGGATGTGGCCTGAGGCCAACTTGTTTGGACTCCTATTGATAGTCTGGAAATTGAAAAGTTTCAAGCAAACTGAAAACAAAACCTCTTGACCAGCATCACTTCCACTTCCAACTGGATATTTTGATTCCTGTTTGAACCGGCTACTGATATTTTGATGCATATTTTGATGCAGCTTCCACTTCCTGTTTTGATTCCTGTTTGAACCGGCTACTGATAGTGCAGTTTTGACTCCTGTTTGAACTGGCTACTGATATATTGGTGCAGCTTCCACTTCCAACTGGATTCAAAACTGCTAAAAGGCTTGCACAAACCAGAATAAGTGGACAATTCCCACTTCAGAGGAAAATATTAACCCACTAGTCAATGGGGCTTGCAGTGATCACGAGTTTGTGTGCCAATGAAGAAGTACCACCAATGAAACCTACATGTTGTAGGCAGAAAGTTTACCTCTTTCAAAACAAAGAACTGAATTAAGGGTCTTAGGAAACAAAACAAAAACAAGTCAAAAGCAAGAGTGCCTGCACTATTAGCCACAATATGGAGTCTATAGGTTTATAAACAGAATCTGTTACAGCTTGCAAGAGTAACCTCATTAGCATCTTTTGTTGATAATGTTTCATCATCTAGGATTGCATCAGTTCGGGCAATAACATTCACACTAAGGCTCTCATTTGCGAAGAACACAATAGGAGAACAAGCACTAGTAGCCACATCAGAGTCATCTATAGGTTTAATAACATAATGATAAACTTTAACAAGTTATGTTCTGTCCTATTGTTTCAAAAACTAGTGAGGTTTATGGGTAAACAATAATATTCAAGGGAACACCAACAAGGTTCACTATAGAGAACTATGCAAATTTATTAAACAAGTGTAAGGGCAGCTCTGAAGCCCTATCCAAACTGGGGTCTTGGTAGAGTATTCTACAAATGAAAACTTAGGTGACCAATAAATTACATTCAAAATCAAGTCATAGATAGACCACGGTTTTCGAATCAAGAAACGTGAGAAAGCCAACCCTAAAATACTTCAACATAACATAATCACATTTATGTAATAAAGCTAAGAGACTCTACATTAGCCTAGATAATAATAATGATATATAATAACAACAATAACAAATCATGAAGGTAATGATGTTTGGCTTCAATTTTATACGTAGCCAACATGTCAATGACTCAATAGTGATTTCAAGTGTCCTCTGTGCCAATAAACCTTCAAAAACACCTAAGAACATCATGGGACATGGGAGTAGAACATCAGTGTTAAGTATATATAATCATAAGAAAGCAATAGCAAATATGCTACTTGGATATCTAGAACATTAGGGCATTGGTGTTAGATCTTGTGTACAATCCAAAAAATCTTCATAACATCTAGAAAAGAATTCAAAAATGCATTGAATAATTCATTTGTTAAAATTAGCACATTCTCTTATAATGGCGTTAAAGTATAGTTTAATCAAGATTGATAACCCTTTTGTTTCCCATAATGTATTTTCAAAACTCATTAACAAAATGCTTAAGTATACAACACAAATTCAGAAATAAAAGTAGGTTTACAGATAACCCTTTGATGCACTGCTCATCACCCCCAAACTAGAAAGTACTCCGTAATAAACAAAATCTGAATTCAAGGATACAAAAGAGAAACTATATATAGTATTGAATGAATTCGACCATGATACACTTACACCAAAAACTGCACAGTTATGCACAAACATTTTGATAGTATACACCGACACAAGTGTTGGTGTGTTAACAAAAATTTAAACGGACACAAAATGTTGGTGCAATAAAAAAATTAGTTTTACACCAACACAAAATGTTGGTGCAAACCTGCGGGTACAAATTGGGGTATAAATGTTGGGGTACACATAGCTTAATCCGAATGCATTTTACCTTCTGGGGTCTGCCTCTATGAACAGTGACTTCGTGGTTCTCAATCTTCAATTGACTATACTTTAGCCCCAAATCCTCGACAGAATATTAATATTCTGAAAACGCAGTTGATGTCGATCTAAACGAAACAAAAATCATCAAAAACGATCCACAACTTCAAGAGGAATGGTAAATCCAATGGAGTCACAGATTGTCGCAGGTCTCAGACCTTAGAGAGAAACTCTTGCCAAACCGGATTGTGAAGCGGATATGGATTCCGATGGTGAAGCGGCTGTGAAATGTGATTGATATGGAGTAGAAGTTAGTTTACTTAGGTTTTGGCAACTTCCTTCTGAATGGGTAAGTGCTGAACTTGTAAGAGGTCTGAATTTTTAAACCATTAAGAGCTAGTATATTGCTTAACTATTCAGAGGCAAATGTCTGATCAATTCAGATAACAGCTCTTAACCATTCAGACTCTGTATAATACTTAACCATTCAAAGGCAAATCTCTTAACCATTCAGACATCTGAACCATTAAGAGGCTGAAACAAACAGTCTGAACCATTAAGTGCTGAATTATTCAGACATCTGAACCATTAAGAGGCTGAAACAAACAGCCCCTTAGTTGGATCTGCTAGGTACCCTTTATTTCCTAAAAAAAATGGAAGTCTTATTTTGGTATATTTTCAATGTTTTAATCCTATTTTGGTCTTTCTCCCTTTTAAAATATACTATGAGGTACTCTAGAATACTGAAAAACTAATTAAAGGGTGATTTTTCATCCATTGTTCCGTTATCTCCAACTACATCAGTCATCATCATCATCCCTTTTTCATATTCGCCCCAGCCTTCATCATCTTCTTCTTTTTCCTTTTTCCTTTTTTTCTTTTTTTACTTTTCTTCTTCCTCCAATTAGGGGTGGACACGGTACGTTTCTGGGACGGTTCCAGTTCCGGAACCGGCGGTTCCGGTACCGCCACCCCTTGGTACCGGTACCGGTACCAATACCGGACCGGCCGGTACCGGTTCTGGTTCCCGGACCGGCAATTCCGGTACCAGACCGGCCGGTTTTTGGCCACCCCCAAATTTTTTTTTTTACTTTTTTATTAAATTTTTAAAGTGTAAATTGTAAATGTGAAATTGTTAAAGGAAAGAATGAAATAAAAAAATCTAAAAATGCAAAAGTTTTGAGAAATTAGCATACCGGAAGTCCGGAACCGGAATTTGCAGCGGAAAGAAGTCAGTCATGAACAAAAGGTGGAAGGCTTAAAATAGGTGGAATTTTAAGTAGACATCCCAATGTAATTTCAATAATGAATAATAGAATAGTGATCCAAAATCTAGCAAAATGTAGGAATTATCCAACAGTCAGGAAAACATCCTACTACCCACTGGGAGATTTGCAGCGGAAATGCAAGAGTTTTGAGAATTGCAGCCCATGGACACAAAAAGTCAAAAAAAAATACCGGAACCGGAACCGGAACCGCCGGTGCCGGTACCGAAAAATGGGTACCGGAACCGGTACCGGATGGGACGGTTCCGGTACCGGTTCCCGGAACCGGTGGAACGTACCGGCCGGCGATGACGGTGGCAGGTACCGGCGGTACCGTTGCCGGTCACGGTACCGTACCGGTACCGTGTCCACCCCTACCTCCAATCCAGCCCCCACCCCACTCTCTCCCATAATTTTTTTCTTTTTTCTTTTTCTATTATTATTATTATTATTCAAAATTAATTAGTAATTTCACACCCTAAAAAAATAGTAAATTTATTGCTCTAAATAGTGATAAATATCAAGTACGGAGTAATAAATATGAATAAGAATACAAGAAAAAAAAATAATAAAGAAATAATATTTATAATAAATACTCACTCTGTTCCATAAAATCCTTCTTCTTTCATTTTTTACCAATTTCTTAAAACACTTTCACTTTCTATTAAAAACCCACTTTTACCCATATTTTTTCATGCATTATCTATCACATCATATTTTTTTCCACTAATAATCAAACTATCGCATCTTACTTTTACCCATCACATCAAGGGTAGAATTGAAAAGTCAACCAAAATTACACTTTCTTTATTTTGACCCAAAGTCCAAATGGAAAGGGTTTAAAGGAACGGAGGGAGTAATTAAGATTAATATTAATTACTCCCTCCGTTCTCAAAAAGAGTTCCTACTTTGACAAAGTGTAAAAATAAGAAAGTGTTAAATTGTAGTTGACTTTCAATTTTGTCTTTGATGTGATGGGTAAAAGTAAAATGTGATGGATAGAATAATAGAGAAAAAGTATGATGTGATAGGTAGAGTATAAAAACATAAGGGTAAAAGTGGTTTTTAATAAAAAGTGAAAGTGTGTTGTTGAAAGTGAAAAAAATAAAAGAGAAAGTGTTTTTGAGAACGAATAGAATAATTTTTTTTCAAAAAAAAGAGTAGTACAACTACAAATTCTTTTAATGATAATAATAATAATAAATAATATCATTATTTATATTAAAAATACTACGTAATTAGTAGTGGTAATACTCTATTTATAATAATAATTATTACTGCATATTTAGCACTATTTATTAGTGCTTTTTTCTATACGTTAGAGTAGTAAAATCACTTTAATTTTTTAGGATGTAAAATTACAAATTATTTTGTCATAATAATAATAATAACAACAACAAGAACAACAACAACAACAACAACAACAATAATAATAATAATAATAATAATAGAAAAATAAGAAGAATAAAAAGGGGGGTGGTTTGGCTGGCCGTTTGGGAGGGTGGGGAATCTAGATGTGTGGGGGAGAACAAAGAAGAAGAAGAGAAGGAAGATGAGGGAAAGGACCAGGAAGAAGAAAAGAATAGAGAGGGAGAAGATCATGATGGATGATGGATGATGGTGTAGAAATGACGGAGGCGGACGGAACAAACGGAAAGAATGATAGAAAATCACCCTTCAGATAGTTTTTCAATGTTTTAGGGTACCTCGTAGTATATTTTAAAAACTAGAAGTACCCGACAGTCATTATTTCAAAATAGAGGATACCTAGCAACAGTTTTTTGAGTTGGATCTAAGGGAGATGTGAATTAGGTATGCATTTGTTATTGGCGGGATTTGGGCCGTAATTCTTTTTGTTTTGGAGATGTAGATAATACCGAGCCAAAATTTTGGGGAAGGGGTGCGAAATTTTGAGGGGGAATTCAAAAAGTTTTAGTGCATTTTCTTTTTGGAAAAAAACATTAATCATTTGCCCCAAGTCTCTGTGATTGATATATGTGAGATGTTCATTCTTCCATAATATCCAGATTCTGTTACTTGAACTATGGATGGAGTTGGAAAATCCCAGTTCAAGTTGCAGGTTGGGAAGGTTATTAGGTTGGGATTTAGGTTCAATAATGGTAAGGATGGAAATTTTGTGTTTTGAAACTAGAAGGGATAACCTCTCCTTTTTAGAAGTTAGCCCACAGAGGTTCCAAAAGAGGCAATTCATTGATAACTTGTGTGTGAGGAACTGTTTGCTGTGGCTTTTTCCAGAAGTCTTTTGGATTTCCTTGTACTGATATTTGTAAATCCATCCTTTTCAGGTTCTCTTTGTTCCTGATGGTTTGTTGTGGTTGGAGGAGGAATAGAAATTTCTGGATCACTCAGGTAATTCACATTGAATTTTAAGCCTGTTTCCTGAATGTCTGAATCATCTTTTGAGGTCGTGATCATATCTTCTGATGATTTTCTGCAGATGTTAGATATGTCTATCATCATGGCTTCTATAAGCTCATCATCTGAGGGTGTGGGTGAAGGTGAGTTTGTGAGGAGGTTGTTANAGTTTGGTGGGTAGTGGTATTGCTCTTAGTGTTTGATTGACTGGCATTTGAAATGGGTGGATCCAGAGGTTTTAGAATTGGGAGTGGGGTTTGGGTTGTTTGGATTGTATTTGTTGATGGGTTATCAGGACATGACTGGGTGTTTTTGTCTGTTTTCTTTTGGAAAATGGTGACTGTTTTGGCTTTGGGATTTTTGGGAATATTCCGGCCATGGCTTGAGTTTTCCTGCAACTGGTTAGGTTCTTGAACTTGCTTGTTTTTCAGCATTTTGCATTCTCCAGTGTGTCTAGATATGCCCTTGCATGTGTGACAGTAAGTGGGAACTTCTTCATAAGTAGCTTCCAGGGACAGTTGCTGAGATCCATTTTGAATGTAGAATTTTGTAATTTGTGGTTGAGAGATGTCAACCTCAACACAAATTCTGGCCAATGAAGGTCTGCCAAAATTCTATGTAGTAGCATCAAGCTTGATAGGTTTACCAAAGACTTGGCCAATTCTAAAAAGGGAGTCTGAAGAGTGTAGGTGAATAGGTAAGTCTTTGATTCCTATCCAAACTCGCATAATGGGGGATTCAAAATTGGGATCAAAAGTTGGTGTCCATTTGGATATCAACATTTTAAAGGGGCCTAAAACCCACTCCCTTCTTTTGAAGCATCTGTGGTATTCCTCTTGGGAGGAGAAGTTAAAAAGGATGTGTGTAGAATCAATGAGAGTAACAGAAAAAGCTGAAAAGCCAATTCTCTCTAAATTATGTCTCACATAATCTAGACTTGGTCTTCCAAAGAAGAAAGATCCTACCAGTGCCTTAGAAAATCTTGAGGCCAATAGGTTCACTTCTTCATCAGAGAAGGACACACAAGGTAGTCCTTTGAGTTTTTCAATAGGTTTGATGGGGATGGTGGGAATTGGTACCTCTTGTGAAGAAGCAATAATAGCTGCAGCGTAGCTTTTCCTTTGTGGCAGGTTGTTGCTTGCTTGTGTGGAGGGGGGCTGCTTGGACCAGGGATTCCTTGCTTCGGTGTGCTTCTTAGTGTGAGGATTGTTTGCTGCTGAAGTTGTGGCTGTTAAAGTTTTAGTGGAAGGATGGCTGGCATGCTGAGGATGGCCGGTGTTACCACCTGAGGAGGTCGCCGGCATGCTTAAAGGGTGATCCGCCGCCTAGAGAGAGATTTATATATATATATATATATATATATATATATATATAGTAACTTTGAAAGCATTTATTTTTTATATTACTACATGTCAACGAAAATGTGACTCAAAATGTAGACATCAAAAAAATATGAAAAAAAACCATAAACATTATCTGTCCAAAAAAATCATATGGATGGACTTCAAAAATATAAAAATAATAATGTGAAAAAAATGAATTTTGTCTAAATATTTCATCATTCATGTCAGCAAATCAGGAAATATAAGTTTATACATACATGTATGG